CACGGCGTGATGGGCTGACACCTTCACGGGGCCGAACCTTTGTCCACTGTCCCTGGTCATCGCCGCAGTTAAAGCAGAAATCGCTGCTCGAAACATCACGCGTCAAGGACTCCCGTCTCCCTCGCACAAGCGGCTGCCACCGAGGAAACTGGACTGGCACGGTGGCGGGGCTCGCCGCAGGCAACTGGATATACGTGTTACACAACATAGCTTGCGCCACGTGACTTGAAATCCGTAGCTCACATATCCAGATACTACTGTCCAGCTTACACATCATAGCTTACACAGCGTATACCACACCGCGTAGCTTATTCCCATAATGATCGCCTCTACAGCTCACAACACATAGCTTACAGCGCGTAGCATGTACAACATACCTCACACCACACAGGTATCATCGCACACCTTACCCAACATAGCTCACACCAAGTATGTTGCAAAACATCGCTTACTCCACATAGCTTACATTGCACAGCCTCGACCCCCACAGTGCAACGATTCCTTATGTGGGACCCACGTCGGCTAACATGATTGAATTATATTATTCGACTGTGTCCTGGTAGCCGACAGAATATACATACGTATATATGTCTATATACCTATATATATATATATGATATTGGAGAAAAGACCCAATCAGATGTATGTTGGGGCTATGGGGCTATAGGGCTATAAGGGCTGAATGGCTATAGGGGTATAGTGCTGTAGGGCTATAGGGCTATTGGGGCCCTAGGGCTATATGGCGATAGGGCAATATGGCTATAGAGCTACAGGGCTATAGGGCTCTAGAGCTAAAGGGGTCTAGGGCTCCAGGGCTCTAGGGCCATAGAGCTGTAGGGCTATAGGGCTATAGGGCTGTAAGGCTATATGGGCTATGTGGGCTATATGGGCTATTGGGCTATAGAATTATAAGGCTATAGGGCTATATGGCTATAGGGTGCCCGGGCACCCCGGGGCACCTCCGGGCACTCCCAGGCCCCAGCATCCAGGCACCCGGCCACCCACGGACACCTGGGCACCCGGGCACCCGGCCACCGGCCGCCGAAATCCTGGGGCACCGGGCACCCCCGGGCACCCAGGCGCCCGGGCACCCAGCCACTGGCCACCACATTGGCGCCCCACATCACCTAAGCATATGAATCCGCTGGGACCCTTACAGAGGCAAGCTCTGATTGGATAACTCACCGAAACGAGCAGACAACGGTTACGACAACAGCAATGGCAATAACGCTATCGGTTTTTGACGAGGAAGGAAGTTAGAACACCGGACGGCAACGAAAGACTCGGCATGTCCTGGGGTTCGTGGACGCTGAGACTCATGTCGAATATGACTTGACACCGGAAGCAACAGCAATAATGACCTTCATAAGCGAATCCAACGACGCGAACACGGATAAAAATCGGAACGGGCGAAACCAGCTTGAAACGACGAATATGATCGACACCACGTCAGACGAATACAACAGAACAGCGGGACCAGAAACACATAAAACAACTACGATTACCCTGCGACGTACCCAACCCATTTGAACCGACTGGAAAGAGACGCAGGCCAATAATGGCAGGAACGGCGACTGTGCAGGCGCGGCGACTTGATGTGCGAGTTGCAGGGGATGCGCGCAAGTTGCACGACTCACAGGACAGCGATCGACAGGACGAGCATTGGGGCTCCAGGCTTGAAGACAAAAACGGGGCGGGAACGACGGGCAAGACAATGTCGGGATTGTGGGAGCGGGGAGCCGTCGAGGCAGCAGCAGCATGGAGGGGTGCGGACGGCAAGCCGTCTGATTTCAATCTGCGGCGAGTATTCTGGCCCCCCCAGCAGCCCTCGAACAGGGCGACGGCTTCGCAGATCGCAGCCTTCCAGGGATTGCTAAGTCTAATCTGAGTCTGCATCGAGTACCCAAAATGCTGCGCCCCCCAGCAGCCCTCGAAAGTGGCGATTGTCACGCAGATCGCAGCCCCCCAGGGATGGCAGGGTCTAGTATCAATCTGCAGCGAGTGCCCCCTACGCTGGCCCCTCAGCAGCCCCCGAAGGTGGCGACGGCTTCGCAGGTCGCTTCCTTCCAGAGATGGCGGGGTCTAACCTGAATCTGAGGTGAGTACCCACAATGCTGCCCCACACCAGCCCTCGAAAGTGGCGACAGATTCACAGATCGCAGCCCCCCAAGGATGGCGAGGTCTAATCTGAATCTGCGGCGAGTGCCCACTAGTCTTGCCCCACCCCCCAACAGCCCTCGAACGTGGGGACAGTTTCTCACGATCACAGCCGCCCAGGGACGGCGAGGTCTAATCTGACGAGTACCCACTATTCTTGCCCCCCCCCAGCAGCCCTCGAACGTGGCGACAGTTTCGCAAGATCGCAACTCCCCAGGGATGGCGAGGTCTAGTCTGAATTTGCGGCGAGAATCCACTATGCTTGCCCCCAAACAGCCCTCGAACGTGACAACGGTTCCGCAGATCGCAGCCCCCCATGGACGGCGAGGTCTAATCTGAGCCTGCGGCGAGTACCCAATATGTTGGCCTCACCAGAAGCCCTCGAGAGTGGCGACGGCTTCGCAGATCGCAGCGCCACAGGGATGGCGAGGTCTAATCGGAGCCTGCGACGAGTACCCACTATGTTGCCTCCCCAGCAGCCCTCGAAAGTGGCGACGGTTTCACAGATCTCAGCCCCACGGTGATGGCAAGGTCTAAAATGAGTCTGCGGCGAGTGCCCACGATGCTGGCCCCCACGCAGCCCTCGAACGTGGCGGCAGTTTCTCAGATCGCAGCCCCCCCCAGGGATGGTGAGGTCTAATGTGAACCTGCGGCGAGTACCCACTATGTTGCCCCCCCAGCATCCCTCGAACGTGGCGACAATTTCTCAAGATCGCAGCGCCCCAGAAATGGCGAGGTCGAATCTGGGTCTGCGGCGAGTACCACTATGCTGGCACACCAGCGGCCCTCGAGAATGGCGACTGTTTCGCAGATCGCAGCCGCCCAGGAACGGCGAGGTCTTATCTGAGTCTGCGACGAGTACCCATGATGCTAACCCCCCCAGCAGCCCTCGAGAGTGGCAACTGTTTCGCAGATCGCAGACCCCCAGGGATGGCAAGGTCTAATCTGAGTCTGCGCCTGGTACCCACGATGCTGGCCTCCCAGCAGCCCTCGAGAGTGGCGACTGTTTCGAAGATCGCAGCCACCCAGGGACGGCGAGGTCTTATCTGAGTCGGCGACGAGTACCCATGATGCTAACCCCCCCAGCAGCCCTCGAGAGTGGCAACTGTTTCGCAGATCGCAGACCCCCAGGGATGGCAAGGTCTAATCTGAGTCTGCGCCTGGTACCCACGATGCTGGCCTCCCAGCAGCCCTCGAGAGTGGCGACTGTTTCGAAGATCGCAGCCACCCAGGGACGGCGAGGTCTTATCTGAGTCGGCGACGAGTACCCATGATGCTAACCCCCCCAGCAGCCCTCGAGAGTGGCAACTGTTTCGCAGATCGCCCCCCTAAGCTAGCCCCTCGATGAGTGGCGAACTGTTTCTGCAATTCGCGGCCCCTCAATGATGGCGAGGTCTAATCTGAATATGCTTCTGGTACTCATTATGTTGGCCCCCCGGCAGCCCTCGAGAGTGGCAACTGTTTCGCAATTCGCGGCCCCTCAAGGATGGCGAGGTCTAATCTGAATATGCTTCTGGTACTCATTATGTTGGCCCCCCGGCAGCCCTCAAAAGAGGCGACAGTTTCGCAGATCGCAACACCCCAAGGATGGCGAGGTCTAATCAGGATCTGCGCCTGGTACCCACGATGTTGCCCCCTCAAGGATGGCAACAGTTACGCAGATCGCAGCCGCCCAGGGATGGCGAGGTCTAGTCTGAATCTGCGGCGAGTGACAACTATGCTTGCCCACCGGCAGCCCTCGAACGTGGCGACAGTGTCGCAGATCGCAGACCCTCAGAGATGGCGAGGAGGAGGCAAAGGGCAAAAGAGGAGAGGAGGCAAAAAGGATGGAAGAGAGGAGGGAGACGGGAGGAGGACGCGACCACAGCGCTCTGTTCAAAACGAGTACCCAACGCAGGAGGGTTCCACTAAACCAATCCACGTGATGCCCCGTCGTGCCCAATGCCCACTGGGTACCGAGCCTGGCGACCCGTCGGAACGAATCGGTAGACGCGCCCTGCACGCCTCTCCGCGTGGCGCTGCGCGCGGCGGCGAGCCTTGCCGCAGGCAGCTGGATGAGAAAGCCAGGATCCGAGGCGAGGCCAGAGCTGGGGCTCTGAGCTGTGCCAGAGCCAGGAGGGGACGCAGGCTCGTTCCGAGCCGACAGCGCTCTACCTGCGACGGAGCGGGTCGGGAGGCAAGGTGCTCTCGGGCAGTCCTGGGGGATCCCGCGCCTACCTGCGCCAGGGAGCGGGTCGGGAAGGTGCTCTCGGGCACTCCCGGGACATCCCGCACTCGGTGCCGCGGGGTGCAAACCCTCAGACCGCATCCTGCCGACGTCGAGTTCAGCCCGCGAGGAAGCGGTGGATCTTCTCGCAGCCCCGCTCTCGTCCGCCGCCGCCCCCAGATGCCTGCCTACACTCGAGGGGAGCCGAAAAGCAGGGGTGGAGCGGCTGTGAGTACGTCGGCCTGGAGTCGACGATACGTCGCCGACAGATCTGCGACAGGCTCCGGCAATTGGAGCCGCACATCCCTGGGCATGGTGCAAAATCCCAACCCACAGCCCCGCAGCCAAGGTCGGCGACAACCATATGATCAGGCGTCGACGTTTCCACCGAAGCTTGCCCACTCCCTTTCCGGCGCCCCTGATGGGGGCTGGGGAGGGCTGGCTCACTCTGCCACACTCCGTGATCGTGACGAGTGAGCGAATCTCGCGCACGACGCAGCCGTCGTTGCTCGTGCAGGGGACCGACCCAACATGCCGTACACCAAGTAAGTCGTCAAGCGTCAAGCCCCGGCGGGGTTGGCGGTGGCAGTGGCCTGGTGCACGTTGCAGCAACGAACAAGTGCTGGGTTCACGACACCTATGTTCCAAGCCGCGCGTTCCGCGCATCGTGCATCTTGAGCTGCTCGGTCGTGTAGTGGCTGCGGTCCATCATGGAGATCGCTCTCTGGACGTCGAGGCCTGAGTTCGCGACGGCAAGCGGGTCAGGCCTCGAGTAGTCTGCATCCGGCTTCTTCGTGGGGTCGAAGTCGTTCGCGTCCACGACCACGGCGCAGGCACCCCGCTGCAGCGGGATCTTCGCACTAGCCACCACCGCCGCTCTCGAGGCGTCGCTGGTGATGCTGGGCGTCTCCGCCGCCCGGGCGGCGGCCTTGCTGGCCTTTTTCTGCCGGCGTGCCTCGCGCTCCTCGTCCGCGGCAGCTCTGAGACCCATGTTGGCCGCAGCCACCTCCTTGGCGTACGCCATGCTTTGCTCAAACGAGGCCTGCTCTTCCTGCTCCTTCTGGCGTCGCCTCCGCTCTTTGAGCGCTTTCTTCTCCTTTCTATGCTTCTTCTTGTCGTTTGTATCCCGTTTCTGCTTCTTGTCCTTCTTCTTTCGTTGTTTACCTTTGTGTGTTTTCTTGCTCTTCGGCTGATCCAGCGAATGCGAATCAGACGAGCTTGAAGACCCCCCGCTCGAGCGGGAAGACCGTGCCATTAGAAAGCCCGTGATCGGTGCGATACGGCTGGGCGGCAAAACTATCAGACACCTTCGATTTCGGGGCCCGTTCGGGGCCGGAACATGCGCTGAACGCTTTTGTAGCGAAGCCCAAAGTTCGGGCTTCGTTCAACAAACGAGTGCGCCAAACCATCCAGATGCGTTACAATATCTCCAAAGCCAGGAATCTCCCTTCGTGAGGATGGGATGGGTTGGGGGGTGAGGGTGCAAGCAGTGCTCTGCGACCTCCCACACAAAAAAATCCGATTCAGACACCAACCAGACAACTTCGAAAGCGGATTGCCCTCCAACTGAATGCAACTGCAGGCGAAGCACACTGACAAGCGCGCTTGGGCCAACATCTAGCTCGGTAGAAGCAGAAGATGGTGACGACACAAGACAGAACATATAACTGAGAGATCATGCAACACGCTATGAAACATCGGCATGCGATGTGGTATCAACCAAATCGTGTTGAG